TGATGGTCCGTGGAACTATTAAGCCTTTTGAGTCACCCCCTTCGTATTTGCACATCTTCTTCGAGGTGACCCATTTTCCATTGTAGCACACGAGAATAACAATTGTCTCCATGTCTGACCATGACAAAACAACAGTTCATTAACACAATATAACCACAATAACCATGCAATATAACAGCAATATAACCACAATAACCATACAATATAACAGCAATATAACAGCAATAGAACAGCAATACGACAGTAAAATAAGAGGAACACTGGTGTAACACATCAGAATCACACTATACAGATCTACTACATCAAATGGAAAATCCCAAGTTTCAAGATTCACATATCCACACCAATCTAAGTGCAATTGGTACAAACCCAGATGAATGAGCATGGATATTCAACAAAACCTAACCCAAAGCAATTAAAGCCAAAACCAATTTCACACAGACCCAAACAATCAAAATGTAACCCATTTCACATAATCCCACTGATATTAAAAGAAAATAACCATCAACCCTACCTTTTCGAGGTCGGCAATCCACTACTGCTTCACGGTTGCAACCAGCTATTCAGAAGACATACCTAAAGGGAGGGGTTCGCGATTCCAAACAGAGAGCAAGACCGAATATGGGGAGAAAGAGACATAACGAAGCTAGAGAGAGAAAGAGCTGCGGTATGAGAAAGAGAGCAAAGACAAAGACAGAGAGTTGTGCTACAGAGAGAGAGAGCTGCGATAGACCTATAGCAAAGAGAAACAGAGCTGTGCCACAGAGAGAGAGAGAGAGCGAGAGAGAGAGAGACAGAGAGAGAGACAGAGCTGAGAGAGACCAAAAGTTATGAACTTGTGATAAATCAGCAATAAGTGGCCAATAATGTTATATTTATAGGTGATAGTTTTACAAAAATTGGGAATGGGTGGTATTTTTAGTTAATATTAACAAAGGGGTGGTAGTGAGGGTCATTTCCCAAAAATAAATTTGGGTTTATTCAATTGAGATTTCAAAGAAGTTTAAAAGCCTGGGTGTATTCAACCATAATTTTATAAAAGTTTATATGTGCGTTTACACTCATTTAAAAGAATATAAACCGTTAAATTAATCTAATGAATTTTAATAAGTCCGCATCATCATAATTGTATTAAACTAAAAATAACCATGTGCACCTTATTATCTATTCAATAACTCTGAAATTAAAATAAAATAAAATACCCCAGCAAACAGCAACGACCTAACCCTACATGCCACAGCCATGGCTGCCCCTCTCTCTCTTGATTTGGGATGACTGACTCTCAAGGCCTAGAAAGAGATTTTATGAAATTCGGATCTTTTTAACAAAGTACTGCAATTAAATATGCAAATTCATAAATGAAAATTAGCTGGCCACAAATACTGCATATGAAAAATCTTATATGTGACTGCCAATAACCATGGAACCTAGTAAAAAAAGGCGTGTGTGTGTGTGTGTGAGGAAAAGAGAGTGAGGGGCGGCTACCATGGCTGGTAGTGAGGCGGGGGAAAGAGGCTGGGTCGGGGAAGTTTTTTTTTTTTTCTTTTTCCAGGGAAGTTGGAAGATGGTTGCTGCTTGCTGGGATATGTTTTTGTTTTTTATATTTTTTATTTCAGAGTTTTTGGATAAATATAATAAGGTGTAAAAGGCTAGGTTTAATACATTTATGTTGATGTGGACTTGCTAAAATTCATTAGATTAATCTAAGGGTTAAATTTCTCTTAAATGCGTGTAGATACACATATGCTAAATGTAGAAGCTTGAGATCCAATTCTAGGTGTATTCAATCTAGACTTTGGTGTATTCAATTATGACCTTAAAATACTCCATTAAAATTTGAGTGTATTAAAAAAAAAAAAAACTCATTGATTTTAAAGGGAATACAAATTGTGGTTGATCTAGATAGATTTT